TTTAAGTTAGAAAACAGAGATAGTTAATAAGCAAAAAAAGAAAAGAAAATGAAATCATAAAAAATATTCAATCCACAAAAAAAAAATAGGAAGGGAAAGAGGAAAGCGGGAACAAAGAACAGATTAGACAAATAGGAAACAGTTATCACGATGACAAATTTAAAGCTAAGCATGTTGAAATAATAACTTTAAATACAAAAGGTCTAATCACCTGATTAAAAAGCAGAATAAAAAACTCAACCATATACAGACTATAAGAAACACATTTGAAAACACATTTAAAAGTAAAAGGTTATAAAAAGATATGCCATGCTCACAGTACTGTTATGCCAGATGAAGTCTAATCCACAACAGAAAAAATTAACACGTTGGACTTCATCAAAATTTAAAACCTCTGCTATTCAAAAGATATTAAAAGAATGGAAAGGTAAGCTACAGATAAAAAGAAAATACTTGCAAATACAGGACTTGTGTTTAGAATATATATAAAAGAGTCCTTAAGAATCACTAATAAGAAAAGAAACTGCCGGGTTTTTAAAAGTCAATTGCATTTTTATAAAAAAAAAAAACAATCAATTAGAAAATAAAATACTAACATGATTTTCTTTACAGCAGCATAAGAATATTAAATATTATAAGTATAAATCTAACAAATAATGCTCAAGAGCCCTGCACAAAAAGCAAAACTTTTTACAGAATTAAATAGTATCTAAAAATGGAAAGATATTCCGTGTTTACGGATTGAAAGAAAGTCAGTGTTCCCCAAACTGGTCACAGTAATTGTCATCAAAGTCCCAACATATCACATGTGTCTAGAATCTGACAAAATGATTCTAAAATTTAAGTGGAAATATAACTGTTGAAGAATTGCAAAATCACTTTTACTAAATTTATTTATTCTTATTCCAATTCGTTATATATGACAGCAGAATGCCTTACAATTCATATTACACGTATAGAGCACAATTTTTCATATCTCTGGTTGTATACAAAGTATATTCACACCATTCCCATCTCCATACCTTCTTTTCTACTCCCATTCTCCTCCCTTGCCCTCCCACCCGTTTGCCCTATCTAGAGTTCATCTAATCCTCCCATGCTCCCCATCCCAACCCCATTATGATACTTATATCAGAGAAAACATTCGGCATTTGGTTTTTCGTGATTGGCTAACTTAACATTATTCTCCAACTCCATCCATTTACCTGCAAATGCCATGATTTTATTCTCTTTTATTGCTGAGTAATATTCCATTGTGTATATGTACCACAGTTTCTTTATCCATTCATCCACTGAAGGTTGGTTCTACAATTTAGCTTCTGTGAATTGTGCTGCTATAAACATTGATGTGGCTGTGTCCCTAACCCTGTGTGGCTAAGTTCTTTGTGTATAGACCGAGGAGTGGGAGAGCTTGGTAAAACGATGATTCCATTCCCAGTTTTCCAAACAATCTCCATATTGCTTTCCAGATTGGCTGCACCAACTTGCAGTCCCACCAGTAATGTATGAGTGTACCTTTTCCCCCCACATCCTCACCAACACTTATTGTTGTTTGTATTCTTGATAGCTGCCATACTGAATGGAGTGAGATGAAATCTTAAAGTAATTTTGATTTGCATTTATCTGATTGCTAGAGATATTGGAACATTTTTTCATATATTTGTTGATTGATTGTACATCATATTCTGAGAAGTGTCTGTTCAGTTCCTTGGCCCATTTATTGATTGGATTATTTGTGGGGGGTTTTTTGGTGTTAAGGTTTTTGAGTGCTTTATATATCCTAGAGATTAGTGTTCTATCTGATGTGCTTGTGTTAAAGATTTGCTCCCATTCTGCAGACTCTCTATTTACCTCACTGAGTATTTATTTTGCTGAGAAGAAGCTTTTTAATTTGAATCCCTCCCATTTACTGATTCTTGGTTTTAATTCTTGCTCTATAGGAGTCTTATTAAGGAAGTTGGGGCCTAATCCTACATGATGGAGGTTTGGGCCTACTTTTCTTCCATTAGGCTCAAGGTCTCTGGTTTAATTCCTAAGTCCTTGATCCACTGCAAAGACACTTTTGCAGAACAAGGTACAAGGATTTACACTAACAGACAGGAAGGCTTTTATAAAGCTAAGGTAAAGACATGGTAGTGAAGATAAAACATAGAAAATGATCCACTTGAAGGAGACCGTTCACTTAGGACCAAGGTAGAACTAGAGAACAGTGTAAAAAGAACAATCTCATAACCAATCATAGAACAACTAGATCTTTAGCGGGGGGTATGAATAAACTTGACCTTACTCCACTTCACACTATACAGAAAAAGCCATTACAGGGGGCTGGGGTTGTGGCTGAGTGGTAGGGTGGTTACCTAGAATGTGTGAGGCACTGGGTTCCATCCTTAGCTCCACATAAAACTAAATAAATAAAATCAAGGTATTGTGTCCATCTACAACTAAAAAAAAATTTAAAAGCCATTACAGGGGCCCATAGCTCTAAATGTGAAAGAAAAATTATAATTTGAAAATGATTTTTAAAATGGTAAATATCTTCATGACATGGAGATAGAATAAAAGATTCCTTGAAAGAATACAAATAGCACCAACCAGAAGGAAAATAACTAGAAATAAGATCTTCTGTTCTCCCACTCCCCCTAAAAAAGATACTATTAAAAGAATGAAAATTAAGACAGTGAGTGAGAGGGGGGTTTGTAGCACATTGTCTCCTGTGTATTTTCCAAAGATGGCCTTGATAGCATCTCCCCTTCCACATGCTTCTCTTCAGCAGGACCTTTCTGCTTGTCAAGAGTTAGTGAGGACTGTCACTGGGCAAGGTTCCAACTACTTTGAGAGCATGTAGCTTCCACCCGGTTTTCTTGGGTCCCTCACCTGAAGAAGCCATGTGCTGCACACAAAGTTCAACTAGAGTGTTGTGCTGGAAAGCCCATGAATGGGTACACCAGGCCACAGCCACAGCTGAGCCCCCAGCTGACAGCCAGCACCAACTGCCAGCCATCCAACCTGGAGAAGCCTTCAGATAGCTGACAGCAACCAAACATGCAAGACCCCAACCAAGAATTTACACAGTCAAGCCCTCTTGTCAAATTCTGACCCTCAAAAACATGAGCAAAATAAAATAGGCATTGCTTTGCACCACAACATTTTGGAGTAATCTGTTCCACGGCAATAACAACCAGAACTGACAGAATATATTAAGAACTCCTACAAATCAACAGGAAAAAGACTGACAATGGGCAATAATAGGAGCAAAAGTCTTGAAATCTAAATGACCAATTATAAAAACATGCTCCACCTCAGTGTTCATTAGGGAAAAGCGAATCAAAACCATAATGAGATGCCACTACAGAACTAAAATGGGTAAATTTTTAAAATCAAAACTAACACTATTATGTGAGTGAAGATACAGAGCCCTGCAAACCATTTACACTACCATAGGTGTGCTAAACAGTACAGATAACTTGAAAAAAAAATAGTTGGCACTGTCTTATCAAAGTTGAAGACCCATACCTAGAAAATGAAAGAGAGAAAGCAAGGCACATGTTCACCAGGAGATATATATATATATATATATATATATATGAGTGTTCATAGCAGCAAAACTTGGAAACCAGTAGAATCTCACACTTTCATCAATAGTAGATGGACAAATAAATTGTGATGTATCAATCAGTGGAATTCTATGCAGCTATAAAAATGAACAACATATTGTTTTACATAGCAATATACAGATAAATCTCATAATTGATTATGAGTAAAAGAATACATATAGTATGAATTCACTTAAATAAGATTAAAACTAACAAAATACATATTTGGTGATAAAATATAGAGAAAACAGGGAAATGATAAGGCCAGGATATTAGAAAATTGGAGGTTTAGGGATGGTAAGGGACTTGTGATGGAAAATGAGAGCGGTTTCTGGATTGCCAGTGACATTCAAATCCCTTGTTGGAAACATATTTATCTCATATTTATAATACATTGGTATCTTAAATATTTTAGGTAAATACACTACATCTTACAATAACTTTTGGATATTATTAAAGGTTGAAAAAGGGAATCTGGCTTCATTTGTTTATTCAGTTTTCTAATTTCCCCCCAACACTGTTTATTTGATTATCAAAACCTTCCTCACTACTTTGTGATTCCAACTTAATATCATATTCAATTCTTAGCTGCACTAGAGAGAGTTGGTAACAGTTGTTATCAACCAATTTGGTCTTGGTTTCTGGCAAGGACCAAAGGACTGGGAGGAGGGCATGGAAAAATTGTGAATGGAGTAAATAAAAGCAAGAGAGAGGTTGAAATAGTCATCGTCATGGGATTTATTTTAAAACAGGAAAATTCTAGCGACGGAACCAAAAAGAGAAAGGAAGTCTGTGGTAGGGTTTGCCAAGTCAGAAAGTAAAGTGTCACCTGATAAAAGGACTTATGAATGAGCTCAGAGCAAAAATATTTGGGTGAGATCTAAAGCTGAGGCCAGACCTTCAGGATCAGGAGGAGTGGTCAACTATAGTGGTCCAGGGCTCAAGGGTGCAGCTTCCATGGACACCAAGGAGGTAGTAAGGCATCTGCTGAAAGTTTTCAAAGATTTAACACTACTATTTTCAAGTTAAATTTATTACCTTTTTCCTTACTCTAGTGTTTATTGATGGAAGGAGATTACAGAAAAATACGTAGTGACACATTTTGTTGGTCCTTGTCTGCCACGCTCTGGTTCCTTCATCAGCCCACAACCAACTTTTACAGTAACCTGCATTCCTCGCCCGCCGTGATTGGCCCTGAAGAGGGCGGTAGTTGACTTGAAGGGGCTATTACCCTGGACTTGGACTGTGCAAAGGATGCACCCTTGAAGGTCTGCGAAGGACTTAGGTGCAATGGACTGACTAAGGCGACGCTGACCCGCCCTCCCCCAGAGCCCCGCCCCGACCCCGCCCCCGGCCCGCAGCCCAGTCGGGGCCCCGCCCGCGCTCGCGCTGCGCGCTCACACTCCCAGCCCGGAGCTGCGGTGGCCGCGCAGGTCCTACCCGCGTCGCAGCGGCCGGAGATGCAGCCGGGCGCCGCGCTGTGCCTGCGCCTGTGGCTCTGCCTCGGACTCCTCGACGGTGAGCGCCGCGAGCCGTCTGCTTGCGCCAGGGTTGGGCTGACCGCTAAGGGGAGCCGCGCGCCGGGGGGCAAGTGGTTAGATGGCACCAGTGGGGTTCGGGCGGGGGACAGGACTGTCCAGGAGCACGGGCGTGCGGACACCGGATGGAGCACGGCGGGTTGGGACTAGGGACCGCCGGGATGAGGAAAGAGCGGGCGGGGACTGCAGCCGGGTCAGGGACGAGGCGACCAGTCTGCGCGTCAGCGCTGGGATAATCCTTGGGATCCCAGACTTCGCTGTACCTTCAGTGGCTCAGCTTCCTTGTAGGCTCGCCCCTTTGGGCTGCATCCTTAACCTGGATCCTTCATTTCTTATTCACTCCCCCTGCGGAGCTCTGGCGCAGCGCCACTCGGTCCCATGCACTGCGGATTATTCCCTGGGAGCCCTCAGAGGTGACAATCCCCGCCCGACCCCAGACTTGGGTGCGCACTTCCCGACGCCTCGGGGTCAACGCTGGAAGTCCATCCCGGGAGGTCCCCCAGAGGGCGCACCGGACGGGCGTCCACCTTCCCCAGGGCAGGGACTGCAGCAGCAGGGGCAACTGCACGGGAACCAGCAGTCGGGGATGAGGACCCAGGTGCAAAATTAAGATTAATCTCGAGTCTGTGAGCAGTCAGCTTGCAGAAGTGGTACGAGGCCGAGGTTCCCCGGATTTGAGAAGATAGAAGTCTTGAAGGCCAACTGAATATTAAGGCAAAGGTCGCCACCAAAGGGTCTTGTTGAGAATATGGGTAGAGACCCAGACCCAGGGCTGAGGTTGGAGAGAAGTGTCGGGGACAAGGAAAAGAGCGGAGGAGTTGAATGGAGATGCTTGGAAGAAAGCATCAGGGGTGAGGAGAGAATGAGCTGGTGTCTCTGGAAATCAAGAGGTTGAGGAGGGTCTTGGTTTGAGAGAGGAATGCTGGGAGGCCTGAAGGGAGAGATGGAATCTGCACTGTGTTTGCATGTCATAAAATTTAATACTGACTTTACGTACTTCATCTCTTAATTATCACAGTCAATGTCAGACCCATTTTACACATGAAAAAACTTAGACCAAGGACAATAATGTATATTCTCAATGTCCTCAGGAGACCTGTAGAAGGCAAGTAGTTCATCTCCGTCTTTGGGATACCAGGGCTCTGTTCTCTGCTCACCATCTCTATCTTCATAGGCTGAGGGACTGAGAAGAGCAGAGGTGAAGGTGGTATGGTTGAACTTGAAGAAAGGGGGAGATGGACATCTGTCTGAGCTTTTGTCCTCCTGATCAGGGGAATAGCCTTGGACCATTTCTTGCTACCCTATATCCAGCCCAGGGCCAGAATCTCACAGATGCTCAGTATGTGTTTGTTGAGTGACTGAGTAAAGTGTGGGGCAAGGATTGAATAGGGCCCTTGTTGGAGGGCAAGATGAGGAATGGGAGACCTTACACATACACACACACACACACACACACACACACCCCTTAAAGAGATCCCTCTCAAGCAGCAGGTGACTATACCAGAAGCTCAGGAGGGAGGATGGGCTGGGTAGCTGAAGTGGAAATAGGGCAAGGGGTCCAGTAGGGAACTCTGAGGAAGGGAACCTGGAAGGGGGGGGCGGTCTTCCAGGGAGATAAGGATATTTTGCAAGTAAAGGAGGACCAGGAGAGGCCAGCATGAGTGGGAGGTAGAGGAGTAGAGGGAGATGATGTCATTCCCTGTAGTAAGTGACAGTGACTCTCAGCAAATCATGTTGTGAAGGGAAAGAGAGGGTATTAGCTGAAGGGGTATATCCCAGGCTAGAACTGGGTGTGACTGGTGAGGAGATGCTAATAGAGACAAAGACCATTCCTCCTGAGCCCTGAACCTTGCTTCATCCGTCTTGTTGGGCTGAGGAGGACCTCAGACTGCTGGAGGTGCTATAGCAGGAATATGAACCCCCAAGTGCATGGGCTGGGGGTGGAGCTCAGTGGTAGAGTGTTTGCCTAGCATGCAGGAGGTCCTCAGTTCGATCCCCATCACCCCTAGAGAGGGGAAAAATCCCTAAGTAGAGTCAGGCATCAGGAAAGCCATATGCAGTCAGAGAAGCTTTTTGATTCCCCCAAAGGTGGTTGAACCAGACTTTTGCCTAACCCTGCCCCGAAGTTCTTGCTATGTGGCCTGAGCCCCTCCTTTTCCCTCCCTGTACCTGAGTTTCCCCATGCACAGCTGTGGGACAGGCTGGCAAACAATCAGGGGCTGTATGTGCATAGGCTGGATTTTAAGGATTAGGATCCTGGTCTAGTTTCACAGTCTGGCCCCAGCAGTGTCTCTATGGGAAGGGCAGATGGCAGACAGAAGCCCCAAGATGCTTTGTCTTTTTCAGTTTAGTCTAGAAAAGAGGCTGTTTACACCTCTGAACAGTGGGCAGCCAGCTCTGAGACATGTAGGGGAATAAGGAGACTGCTGGGCAGCCAAATGGGTCTGGCATGAGAATGCTACCCCTTGCCATGGTCTGAGTCACACATGGCCATCCCACTTTCTGTTATACCTGCTCCTCGGTTCTAACCCAGACCCAGGGTACAGGAGTAGAGTAGGGATGAAAGTCAGTGCAAGCAGGTCATGGGGTCTGGGCCCACGTTACTGGGCCCATCTTCTGGCCCTAGTTCAGTGCTCTGGGGACTCAAATGCAGGTGCTGCCCACTTGCCTACCATGCCTGAGGCAACAAAGCCAGTTTGGCTAAAGGGGCCCTGCTCCCTGACCAGAGCACAGTGTCTAACAGGCCCCAGACAGGGTATTACAAGTGCACTGTCTGGTGAACTCCCCAGTTGCCAGGGAAGGAGGCTGCAGTTCTGTACAAGACACAAGCCATTGTGCCTGCTCAGGGTGGTGCTGCAAGGGTTTGGACATGGCACTGAACTGCAGGGGTTACCTATGTGCCAGACTGGCCAGGACACCGACATGGCATCAGATGTCTGTAATCCAGGGATGAAAGTGTTCAGTGGCCCAAGAGAAGCCCAGCTGGTGGGTTGTGAACTGCACAGGAAGGCAGTGTCACTTCCAGTTAGGGACTTCCTGGAGAGGTCTGTAGAACTCCAAGAAAGGGAATTCCAAGCAGGGCAAAGAATACCTCAAAGACAGGAAAGTCCAGATAGTACATGGGGACAAGTGAGTGGTCAAATGAGGCCAGAGCCTGAGATGGGAGTGGGGAGAGACCAGGCAACAGAGAGTGACAGAAACTAGGAGACTGCTGTCCAGGTGAGGCAGGAGTCAGGGAATTGCGAGTGGATGAACCCAGGAAATACTGTTAGTTACAGGATAGTGGAAAGAACAGGAACAGGAGCAGGTCCCTGGCTTAAGCAAACAGGGTGGATCCTGAGACAATTTATCAGATGGAGAGGAGCAAATGTGGAGAAGCATGGCCTTCAGGTGGAGGTATCCAGTGCGGACTTCCCAGGAGACCCCAGGTGTCACAACTAGGCAAGATAAAGAAGGAGGAAATTTGGGAGCACTTGAGTGCCATGGGACAGAAGGGAATGGGGAGTAGAATGGGGCAAAGAAATGAAGTCTTAGCATGACACAGAACTTCCTCTCTGTGTCTATCTTACATCTCTCCTGCTGCCCTTTGGGTGTTTTCCTCTACAGGATAGGTCTTTCTCCCCAAGGGCTTACCCTATGCTAATCAGCTCTCTGAGATGCACCCGCCCCCTATGGGGCCAACCTTGGACTCCAGAAGGAAGGGCTTGCTCCACTAGCCCAAGAAACTGGTCCTTATCTGGGGAGAGGGATGAAGGCCACGGAAGGTTCACACCTGTGTTTTAGAGCAGTCTCTTGGGGGCAAGCAGGAAGGCAAATTTCAGAAAGATGTTGGAAGCAAGAGTGGGGATGAGGCTGAGTAGGAGGACTGGACCCGTGGGCAAAAAGAAGAGTTCAAGGAACCTCTCACACTCTAGGCGGACCATCATTAGAGAAGCAGCCGACATATCCCAGCTGGAGCCAGGGATTCCTGACTTTCGTTCCTTTTCAGACACTGGCTTCCTCTGGGATCTGGGTTTTCCGGTTATGCGGAGGGGACAAGTCTGGGAGCAGGAAGGTGCGGGCATTCCATGCTGGAGGAGGATCAGGGCGCCTGCCCTGCTCCTGGTGGGCGGAGCATACAGCAGACACGCCCCCCAAGCCCCGCAGCTTCTCCTCTGCCGACGCCACTGGGCTTAGGCAGTTGCAGGTTTGGGTGGCAAGTCGGGGAGCCCCCGCCACGTGGCCGGCAAGGTCAGCAGGGGTTCATGGGAAAGGACTTGTCGGTCATAGAAGAGGACATCCTGCCTGCGTTTCCCTCTTCCTGCAGCAGGAGCTGGTGGCCCCGATTTAGCAGCACTGGGGGGCCACCTCGAAACCAGCTGGACTGTCTGATAACACAGCTCGTCCTGTCGACTGGTGAACGGAGTCCTGACCCCAGAGAGGCCAGGGTAATGGCCTGACACAGCTGGCTGCACCACAGCAGCCCTGCACCAGGTGCTAGCATCTGCTAGGGTCACCTCTATTCCTTAAACCCCTCCACTAGGTACTCAGGCAGCCCACATTCAGAGGGAGAAGGGGGTGTCAGTGTGAGACACACCCTCACAGTCAGTGTGAGACACACCTCACTAATGGTTCATCAAATTGCTTCACACTAGGGTGTGTGCAGGTTTTAGCCTTGTGACAAAAACTTCATTATGCATCCCGCTTTTTTGTTGCTGCTGTTGTTTTGCAGTCCTGAGGAATCAAAACCAGGATCTCCTGCTTGGTAGTCAAGTACTGTACAGCTGAGCTTCATCCTGAGCTCCCATTTTGCCCATTTTGAAGATTAGGAAATTCAGGGCAGAGGAGTGAAGTGGCTAGATGCTAGGTGACAATGGTGAATTGGCTTATTTGAAGGAGGTGATGGATGTCTGGCCCCAGATGGCATGGGGACCAATGGGCAAAAGGAGAAAACAGCAGGTAGTTGTCCCCATGCCCCAAGGAAGGCCTTAGAGAGATGGG